GGATTACAGCTGGTACAAGCAATAACATCTACAGCGGTCACTGATGCGAGACGCTAAGTTTCCCCGTACTCTCATCTAAATCGCCTGCGATTGTATTGAACTTAAAGATTAGAAATGATTCGCGCACTTCCCTGTCATGATGTATTCGGAAGTCAGACTCCAGAATCGTGGCTCTAATGTTGTCAAATGAGTGGCCCATTGCGTTAGCATTCTTTGATATTGGAAGGTGAGGAAGTAAAGAGATATGAGCCTTGTGATTGAAAAAAACCGATATCGGAAGGGTGTTTCGGTTTCGCCTACGTACGGCATTCTACAGATCGAGCATTCCAGGAGGTAAATTACATTACGCGTGTCGCAGTTACAGTCACCATTTATTTTCACGCTGAAGTTAGATGCGGTGCTGTTTGCGATAAGTGAAGTGGTCATATGCTGGCAGACTTTGCAACGAGGTTTGTTGCAAGGACGGCAGCCAGTAGGTTTACTGCGTACGCTTTTTGAGATGAGTAGGTCACGCAGATTTTGCGCTCTTCTGTACGTCACACGCGGTGGTTCTGGGAAAATTGATTTAAGTCGTTCGCTTTGTAGAAGTATGTTATGGTGCTTTCTTAAAACGGCATTTACGTGTTGCGCAGGCGCGGAAAGTGTTAGAACAAGGTTAGTGCAGGAGAAGACCGGCTGTTTATTTTTGGTGCTTAAAAGCGTTTTGCGGGCCTGGTTACTTGCCCTTTTTATGGCGTCATCTATAATCTTGGAAGGGTATTTCTGTTTTGATAAAGCACTCCGTAGCTGCGCACAATTGGAAATAAAATCAGTTTCTTTGGAGCATATTCTTTTAAAAACGAAGAGCCTGGCTATAGGGTATGCTGGTTGTAGAGTACTTGGCATGGTTGCTATTAGGTGGTGGTTGTGGTTAGAAGATGAGAAAAGGCACCTAATTTCTGCAACCCGGTCGGGAGCACGGCGCAGTGCCTGGTAGAATGAAGGTGCTGTTGAGTATCAGTTGGCTTTCTGTAAACTTTAGTGGCAAGCTTGCCGTCACACATTGTCACTGTTACGTCAAGAAAGCTGATAACTTGTCCTGAGTAGGTGTGAGAGAATGAAATGGACGGATGAGCGTTGTTAAAATCGTGAATGAACGATAAGAGATGAGGTTCACCGTGCTGCCAAATCATGAATATATCGTCAATGTACCTCTTGTAGTACAATGGTTTAAGTGAACGGCTTGTCAGAAATTCGTTTTCGAGTATGCCCATGAAAATATTGGCATAATTAGGGCCTATGGGTGTGCCCATCGAGGTGCCAATAACTTGAAGGTAATGAGTGCTGTCAAATTCAAAGTTGTTAGATTCCGAGACGAATTTTAAAAGGGTCATTATAGTCGAGCTGTCAATTATTTTGTCACAGACAGACTCGTATGAGTAAAGTACTGCTCGTATTCCATCTGCATGAGGATTGTTCGTGCATCCTTATGCACGAACAGAGGGACGCTACGCCAAGGGTAACCAGGAGTGAATCAGGGGGGACAGAGAGGTCAACGATGTCGGACAAGAGGTGGTTTGTGTCTTTGATGTACGATGGAAAAGAAGACGGAATTGGGTTAATTACTGTATCTACAAGTTGGGAGACCAGTTCCGTAACTGTACCAATGCCGGAAACGATGGGTCGACCAGGGTTTCCTGACTTATGTATTTTTGGCAGGAGGTAAAAGCGACCCGCGACTGTACTTTGTGGAACGAGGGTATGCAGAGCCGAATCGGGAATTTTTTGCTTTTCAATGAGGTTAGTTAGCGTGCGTATAAGGATAGATTTGAGCTGCTCAGTGGGGTCTTCGTCTAGCCGCCTGTAAAAAGTGCTGTTGGAAAGCTGTCTGGAAGCTTCGCTTTCATAATCGTGTTTGTTTAGTAGTACCACAGCTCCCCGTTTATCAGCTTGTTTAATTATGATATCAACACGACCTTTCAGTTGCTGCATTGCTGCGGTTTCGGTCATCGAAAGGTTTCTCTTAAACGGAACCTGTTTGCAGTAAATATGTAGCACATCGCGTTGAACGGCAGCGATATAGAGGTCTAGGCACTTATCTCGTTACGTAGGTGGGGTCCAATGTTTGTAAGATGGCAAAATAGAGGTAGGGGCATTAACAGGGCTTTTGTCAAAGAAGTATTCTCTCAGTCTTAAATTTCTTGCAAAAGTGTCCAAATCCTTCATCAGCTTGAATTCACTAAAACCTCCTGTCCCTGGGCAAAAATTGAGTCCTCATGACAATAGCGAAATTTCATCAGCGGAAAGTTCATACGAAGACAGGTTGACTAAGTTACCTGATGATAGGGGGTCACCTAGAGGTCTGGAGTTAATAGATTGCGAAGAAATTTCAGCGGTATGCCTTACCGGGGGAGTATGAGGCGTAATAACTTTGTCACTGGCAAGCTTCTGTCTTTTAGCTGCATATATTTCATCCGATTTTCTTCGCTGGTATGCTGCCAGCAGCGCGCATTCATGGATGGCGAGTTTATGATGGGAAAGTAATTGGCTTTCTTGGTTACGATTGGCTTTGAGCGATGTTTCGTAATGGCGAATGACAATGCGCACCAAATCAAAAGAAGCTTTCGAGAGTACCTCGTTCCACGCGACAACCTCAGAACCAGACATGCTAGCTGTGGCGGGTTTTATGACAATGCGGAGGCCTCTAGGTACAATGCTAGCTTCTAAATAAGTTTTTAACGTAGAGATATGCAATTCGCACCGAATCCGCTTTTCTATCACTTTGCGAATTTTCAAGAATATTCTAGATACAGATCTAGTAGTCGGAAGAATTTTGACCAGGACGTGTAGATGCTAGTCCCGGGGCTTTGCCTTTTAGAGGGCCATCGGTGCGATGAGTTCACAGTAAGTAGCGGGAGGCTTGAGCAGTAGCGGCACCAGAAGTCGAAACACTGACAGTTTTGGACGTAGTAGGCATCGGCTGTTGTAGACATGGCGGTTTCGAAAGGGAATTGTCCGTCGTCGACTGTACTACTGCAGGAATCGTGTCGTTGGGCTGGCTAGAGGGTAGCTGGTTGTCCGATGCTCGAGGCAAGTGATTGTTGCACGTCACGGGTGATTTCGACAACACTAGAATCGGCTGAACGTGATCGTCCGAGGTTGACTTGTAGTAGATTGTGAAGGTGAACGATGGACGCTCGGTAGTTGGCAAGCCGACGAGCCGTTCTCCGAGAGGCAATTAGTTCGACAGGATTCAAGGTACAGATTCATCCTTACTGCCTTCACTAGTCCGCTCATGCGCGGAGGCACCGCGTGTCGGGCGACCCCTAGTTGTAGGTAAGCTCGATGAGTATTTGTTTGCCTGAATAGAGATGGAAGGGCACCCGGAACCAAATAGACGGTTTACAGAAGAACAGTTCAATGGGGGCCAGCTGGTCAGGTAAAGTGTCGCTATATGGCGCGTTGCCTATAGCAAGCCACAGTTGCATTGCGGTCACTAAAATTTAGAACCGAGTGATCGCTGTGCCCAAGACCGAATAAATACACAACATCAGAGATTGACGCAAAATACTGGTCTGTCGAAGGGAGGTGGCCGTCAGCGGCGTCATTTGTTGTCACAGAGTTTTCCTTAGCTGGAGCGCGGAAATCAGTCGGTACACAAGTACGCCAAGACGAGGCAGAGTCGCTGAACCTCGTCACGAAAAGTTGACGCAGGTTACTAGCTAGAATTGCCGTTCCCTCGAAACTGAGGTGTAAGCCATCACCAGCCAAGGCGCGTGTTGGGGGCAGCTCGTAGAAGCCGTGGTCGAGGAAATAAACGAGCCAAGAATGACGGCAGTAGTCTTGTAGGAGCCTGTTGAACTGGTCAGCCTCTAGGTTGAACCTTTCAACGAAAGACGGATTGTTGCAGAAACGACGTCGGTTAGTAGATCTAGGCAACAAAAAACTCATATCCTCCTGATTTCGGGATGTACTTTTGGGATGGCTTCTAACAGTTTGCGAAGGCTCTGGAAGGCGGCGTGAGCGGTGCGGAACGCCAGGTCGTTGGTACCAGCATGAATGACAAGAGTTGTCGTGGTGGAAGGAACGAAGTCCAGTAGAATGGCCATATCCTTGATAAGGTCGCTGGACCACGAAAAAAACGCGGGCGTGCCCGCCACATTTGGGTCAAAATGCTGGAAGACGTACTTGGTTTGGGAGTCGCCCAGAACTACCGTGGAAACAGTGGTGTTCGGGTACTTCTATGTGATCCTTTTCAACGTGGTTGTTCCAGTGTCCATTGTAGGCATAATTGCAGGGAATAAATTCTTGGACACCGGTAAATAGTATGAATAAAAAGAAGACACACGTCGAAAAACAGAAAGGTTTCTTTACGTTTCGGCCGTGGGACCAGCCTTCGTCAGAATAACAGATGTAACAGTGGTGCAATCAGCATATAAGCGCATACGTTTCGCTTGCAATAATCACGTGAGTGCAAACATCATAAAAGCAAGTGCAACAATCAGACATGCATGCTACCCATTACACCTAATGCAGTCTTATGCGAAAACTTCACTGACACTAGCCGCTTTCTATCCTAATGGGTATATTGTAGTAATCCACAACTTAAGCCCCTGGACTGACATCGCGCAATAAAAAGTATGCACTAGGTGGTTGAAGTACGCGGATATCACTATCGCGTTGAACTCTTAAAAGGCGAACCTTGTAAGGGTCCCCCAGTCTTTTTTTTTTGTACACACAAGTTTTTGCGGCCGGCTTAAGTTAAAATGTCCTCATTGCATAATCCCAGGCCGTCAGCCAGGAATTGGGGTGGGGCACTAGTGAAGAACACCATTTTCTATTTGTTCTCGGTAAAACACCACCACGATCCGAATTGTGGGGAAAGGAGAAGGGGAGGGGGGCGGCAGGACTTCCTTTTTGGCTACAGGCCTGCATAATCCTCATGTGAGGCTAAGCCACAGCAGTTTGAGCAAACAACGTTTCAAGAGTACGTAAGTGTGCCAACCTCGTGTCTGCCGCAGGTGCCCTGACCGGCCACGAGAACAAGGTGACGGCCCTCACCATCAGCCCCGACGGTGCGGTGGTGGTGACTGGTTCCTGGGACTCGAGCGTCCGTGTGTGGGGCTGAACGACAGCGTTACTCGAGCAGAAACACCCTGCTACACAACCTCACGAGGCGGGCAGCTCTGTGAACGCGTACGTTCATACAACACGGTACTCGGGGTGTTTCCATACGGTCTTGAAAAGTTGCATTAGGATACTCGCTGGCAACCACGACATGCAGACCCAGCTCGTTTTACGCTTCGAGGTGTAACGGCATGTCCGACGAATCTATTTTGATTCTTAAGCAATTAACTTCCTGCTTCGAGAAAGAATTCAGACCACGGTCCAGTTCGTGAGACAGCTGCCCCATTTACAGTCACCATCTGGCTGCTAGGGGAGAGATGTAATGCTCAATAGTCTGGCGAATGAGAAAGGGTTTACAATTGGCCACCAACCTAAGTCTACATAGGAGTACGCACCAACAGGGAGCCTGCTCGTGAAAAGAAAATTGATCGAAATCCTAAGTTTAAGATATTTCCTCTAGCTGGGGCAGAAAGACTGGTAACTTGTGCATTCGCTTTTGACTATGTTCGCTCCTGGGCTGGCACAGCGAGGGGGCCAGGGAGCCTCCCCGTACGTAGCCACCACTAGCGCGGGTCCTGTGAATGCCGTAAAGATGGGCCGGCCGCCGGAGCACACACGTACAGCAGGCATTGCGAAATTGATCGTAAATCCGCCGCAGCGGTCAACAAAGCGAGAGAGTGCACACTGAATGGTCACTTTTAAAGGAGCCCTTCAACACGTTCTGCGCATGGTCAGAAAACGCTGCCGTCTAGGCTCCGGAGAACATGCGATCCGAACACTGCAGAACAGTTCGCCGCCTGGACTTCGAAGTTGATTTTCCCAAGTCAGCTACACACAGCTTACTCGCAAATGATGGCACTTGCCGAAATTACCCATGTCCACGACCGTTAGCCGATTTAAGCATCGTGAGCTGCATGGTTACCGCGTCCGCCGCGAATGCCGCCACTGTGCCCGCACCAACTGAAAATAGGCTGCGCGTTCGCAGATAAAAATGTGCTCACGATCGTGACGCGCGCTGACGAATTCCTTCAGCTCAGCTTGTACTTGACAGATTCCATTTTTTTTTTTTTTTTTTGCGGCGTGCGGTTCGTGAAGTGTCAGGTGCTAATGGTGATCCTATTCCATTATAACTCGGAGTACTGCAGGGCCCCTTTAACATGTGGAGCTGAAACTGACAACACTCAAGAACTTGAGAAAATACAACTTGCAGTGAGACAGGAAAAGATAGCTGTAACTTAAGAAAGCGGGGAGACAGCGGAATCAGTTTAGATGGTGGTAGCCGATGCTATAGCTAACATTACCAAATAAACCTGGGAAGGCCACATAATGCACAAGACAGAACACAGGTGATCAGTTAGAGCAACAGAATGGATAACAAGGGATGGGAAATGCAGGCTACGACAGCAACGAGTAAGATGGAGCGACAAAATAAACAAGCTACAAGACATAAAACGAAGCCACCTCACTTAAGGATCATTGGGAGAGGTGTTCAACATAACTTGAGGACGACGATCTGTCTTGTCCAAGAAGTTGCGTGCTGGGTTCAAACAAGATACCTCCAACCCGATATTGAAGCACTCATCCAGGTTCATTAGCTTTGCTAGTGTATGAAAGCTACTTCAATAAGAGAACTGCAATCCATTCTTGGTACAGCATGCCCTTCACTGTACTTAGTTCATTTCACTTTGTGTTCCTGAATAGTGAATGCCTTCTTGTGGTCTTCATACAACATCTCATAAGTATAACTATGCAGTTAAAGATGCAGTGACAGGAGGTAATATTGCTGCAGTACAGTTCAGCTAAATAAAGACACATGGAAACACTTAACTGTTACCCGAAATGTATACCACGCAGCTGCAAGATCGTTTAGTGGAACCCTAACACATTTGCGGACTGCGGCAAGTGAGACATGCGACACGGAAGGATGGTGTTTTGTACGTAAAGACAAACAGCTTTATTGGACAAGTTAAATAACATACACAAGGAAACTGGTTTCACAAACAAGACTGAAAGCTACATACTGAAATAAGACACACAGGCTGACCAGGTGTCCAATAAAACACCCGGCAACATCTTTCCAGCCCATTCTCCACAATTGTTTTTTTATGCCCCTCCCTTTTGCGTCCATGTGTATGTGATGGTTTGTCAAACAACGGCTTGTAAGGGCCGTTCCAAACCCTTGTCCTATTTGTGTGTAGCTGATAAAAAAAAAAACTTTTTTTTTGAGTCCCTGGAGCAACAGAAAAGAAAGACAAAACAGAAAAGGCGCAGGGAGTTTTTTCCTGTGCTTGTCCACAGCACTCGGAGACAAGCAGGGAATAAGAAAAAACTGAACGTGGCAGCGCACGAAATACCGAGGGCCTAATGAAACCTCGGTAACTGCCAGGAAACAAAAAGTTGTCGAGAGCATGGCCTTTTCATCGTCGTCACTCATTCCTCTACTGCGAGTGTGGCTGTGTGCTCAAAATCGCGACGGCGCGGCGGGAAGGTGAAATCTTCGGTATAGGGAAGGTCGAGAAGACTCGACTACCTTTGGGGACATCAAGGGCTCGCCCAGAATCCTCATCGGCCCTCTTGTTTTGTTTTCGGAAAGGCGACAGAGTTTGGAGCAGTTGCGCGTGCAAGCAACAATTCAGATCTGACAAAAGTTCTCCGGTGAGAGAAAAAAATGCGCCCACATGGAACTTTTATTAAAACAAATCCGTTGCGCACTTGCACCACGGGAAGGACAGCACCACTCTTCGGGTGGCACCGCTGGCAGGGCCTATGAGTGCTCTGTTACTATAGCAACGTGGAGTTTTGTTACCAAGCCAGCAAAAGGCAGAGAGAGAAGCTCTGCGCACACAGTACGCAAAGAAACTGCTCTGTAGGGGAGCGAGAGAGACTTGGGCACTGACCGGAGTCTTTTTTTTTTTTTTAATCACTTGCTTGGTCTCCCCAAGTTTCCATTTCATTGTACGCGCATAAACATACGAAGATACATAACCGCTTGTATGCATATATCTATACAAAGTCGTGGAGGGGGGCAATTTGTTCGCTCTTTATACATTCTCGGCACATGCGTGCGGCAAAGGCTAACTTGCGGGAGAAAAGAATATTATGTACAACCAAAAGCATACAAATCAGAAATCAGCATTGCCCGCTGTCAGGAAAAAAAAAAAAAAAAAGAGCGAAAAAAAAAGTAGCATAACGACTGAAGTGCGGCACCTAGCTTCGTTTGCAAGTGGTCACTAATTCACAGTTTGTGCGCACAAATGATACGATTTCTGTGTGCATGTGTGTTTGCTTCAACAGGACCCTGTGCGTTGAGGCACATGAAACGAACAAGTTATTTTGTCCAGTGAAGAAAAAGGAAGAAAACTAAAGCTGCACCTACGTCTCATTTATGCTTTAATCGCTTTAAACTGGTCAGACCTTTCGACTGTTTCGCCCGATCCAACTTCGGAAAACTCGGCTTCCCTACACAGCCTCCGTCGCACGCGCACGTCTCCTACAAACCGCAGTGAGAGAAGAGTGCCAATGTCTATTTTGCAGAATGGTGCATCGGTCGGTCTCCTTTCTTTACCGCACCGGGGAAAAAAACAGACAAAAGCAACCGGCTTGTCAGCACTGTCGTCGTCTCTCAAGGTATGGCAGTTCTGGCGCCCGGAAGGCAGACATGACGGGGCAGACCCGACTGCCTCCCTAGCAATGTCCTATAGTTGTTTGTGTGTGTGTGTGTGGCATGTATTTGTATATATATATAATATATATATAATGTGTATTTATATTTATATACGAGCGACGACGCAGACGTGTCTGCAAGTATACATATTTATAATATATGTATAGGTTCTCGTTTTCTCAAAATCCTCGTCCAGAGAAGACTGCCGCTGCACTTTTGTTTGAAACAGTAGCTCCCTCAGGTGGAGCAGTGGGTGCTAAAACCCTCTTCCCTATGACTTTTGTGTCCCCCCCAACTCACGTCATGTATAATAATACTCCTTTGATAGCACAACACAAGAAAAATTGGCAGCACAGAATATTTAAAAAAAAAGGCAATACAGGGCAGAGAATGATCAATAGTGTTGACACGAAGACGAAAGGAAAAAATACAACAAAGGCCCAGCTCTAACACCAGTGACACAAGCGCTGTACACACACCTCACAGTCCAGTCTCTCCTGGGCACTAGTGGCAAACAGCGGGGCAGGCAGGAAGCCATGTGGCATTGTCTGCACTCTGACGTGGCGCGCCCAGGGCCAAGCAAGGCCAGCGGGTGGGCAGGATGACACAGCGTACGAAACGAAACGGCAGTGGTTTTCACAATGCCGAGCCTTTTGAAAGGTTTGGTGGTCCAGGTGCAGTGAATGAGCTGGGGCTCGTGCCCAAACACTGTCCCTCCCACTACCGTTAACACAACCGTGTACGAGAATGCTTCAGTGCCAAATCGTGTCCATTGCCCAAAACTAATTTTCCCCCAATAACTCCCTCGTGACCGCCAATAACCGCAATACGGCAGAGTGTGAACATGCCCTAGGTGCCCAAGAAGAGAAGCTTGAGAGGCAGTGCACAGACATGTCAACTCCAATGTCCAGCTCTCAGTGCAACAACCAAGACTTTTTATCACTGACTGGTATAAGGTAAAAAAAAAAGAAGTAAAACAAGGAAGCAGGCCAGGCCACACACAAGAGAGAAAGTCATGAGGCAGTTTCGTACGCACGAATCAAGCGCATGTGCATTCAGAAAGCCTGCTTGCTTGGCTTGGCACGGCCTGCTACACACTCCGTTGCATCCTGTGCACGGAGGATGTCCAAGTAAAAGTTGGTCTGGTACAGGCTGTACGGGTTCTTGCGGTATACTTACATGTGCCTGTGGCAATGTGCTGGGCCGCAAAAAACACACGCTCTCGTTGCCCAAAGACCAGTACATGCCGGGCTGGCTACAAGTGCGACACTACCATTCCAAGTGCAGAGGACAGCGCACACGCCAACGTCCTCTCTGCAAAAGGAACCAAAATGAAAGCAATTAAAGATATAATAATAAATAAAAAAACATAGGCCCATAGAGAGAGACAGAATAGACAAAATCAGAGCCGAAGTATGATGTGAAAACTGCACAACAGTTCAGATGCAAACGGCAGCGGTCATCGCACGAGTCAGCACACACACGCGCGCACACTTTCACGGCATCACCACACAATTTTGTCCAGTTTTTTGTCACCGTGATGGGCGCAGAGAAGTAAAAACTGAAGTTTTCAGAGAGGTGGTGGTGGTGCTCAGGGGGAAGCCACAGGAGATAGCGGCGTAGGTAGGGTATGGCAGGTAGAAAGCTTGGCCTGGGGCGGTTGGGTCTGACTGAAAGCTCAGCTCAAGGGTGTTTGTGTGTGTGTGCTGTACGTGTTTAGGATAGGGATCAAGGTGGTGGTGGAAAAGACTCAAGTAGGCCGAAAAGGCAGAGGGAGGGAAAAGGCAGCGAGCGACATGCCGAGGTGCTTGCAGAAAAGTAACGACCCAGAAAAAGGCAGAAGACAGCACCCTGGCACACAGGCTTGAAAAAGGTCCGAGAGAGAGCGGAGAGTACACACAGCTGTTCCAGCTTAGCGCAGGCCTATATGCGAGCCTCGCATCACACACAAGTCACACGGCACTCTGTACAGATGAGCGCACGGAAATCTTTAAGGCGGGGGAAAAAAAAGCAATCGCTAATATGCAGCAACAGACTGCATAGTAGACAAGACAAAGAAAGTAAAGAACCTGCCAGTACAAACTGCCCCTGTCATGCACACTTTCTGAGAAAAACCATCGTCTCTCACCAGGGGTTGGCTGACAACGTCAATTTACCTGTTCAGTCTAACCATCAAATGCAACATAACTAACAACACAAATCCAAGCCACTTTTTGCTTTTTTTTTTTCAAGGTGCAGGGCCGGTCTAACAGAAGAGGAGGCTCAGCGCCCAAACAAACGTTTATACAAAGCTATGTACAATGTGGAAGGAAACAAATGCCTTCTAGAACAATCGCTTTGGAGGCTAAAAAAAAAAAAAGATAATGTAGAGGAAGACTCAGCATATGGCAACGCAAAAACAATGCCTTCAGTATACACATCTTTTTCCCCCAAGTCTTCCCTACCAGACTTTTTCACACTGGCAGCTCGTATTTAATGCAAGCCGGCTGCATTTGAACTTCTGGCAGCCCCCCCAGAGAGGCTCTCAATGGAGGTACCAAATAAGAACAAATTTAAGCTGAGTAATCAACTGTGGACGAAACAATCTAACAAAACAAGGAATAGTGTAAAAAGTTGCAACTTGCAGCAAAGTCAAGGTGTGGGGGTTCGGTTGTGCGAAGAAGAAGGGAGATTTAAAAAAAAAAAAAAGTACGCAGACGGGGGTTCCACATGAAACCCTGCGTTTCTCTGTGCTTGAGCACGCACGAGACAGATGCTCACACACCTGTGACTAGAGAATTGACAAAAACTGGCGCGCCCAACATAAAAAAACACGAATAGAAACCAAAACTCGCACTCTCCTTCCATCCACATTCTAAAAAGAAAAAGATGCATGCCAGAGAACCTCCCCTCGTCAGCAAGCACTACTGTACTCAGTATAAGAAAACAACTGCAGGGGTGTCTGGGAGGCTGATTAGACATTGCGATTCGCTTAGTCGACTCGGAGTCCAGAAGCCCCGTACCCCGTGCAGAACACATTCGCACCCACTCGCACACAGCAGCATATTTGTTCCATTGACGCTGTTCAATCACACAATACTTGCAAAACACATACACACTCGTTTGCATGCACACAATTCAAAACGGAAGGGGGAGGAGGCCTCGACCTGCTCCCAAATGCCACTCCACGAAGGATGGCTTTGCAAGGACCGTGAAGAGAGAGAGAGAAATCCAAGATGGCTAGAATTCCAAGCAACCACTCCCCACCAGTTGGGGGTGGGAGAAGGAAGAGAAGGCATCTCTCTTTTTTTTTTTCTTAAGGAGTCCCAGGGAGGAGAGGGGGGAAGCCTTGTTTGTAATAGGTGAAGTGAAAACTGTCCATTCCTCATGTCAAAATGCCAGAGCTAACCTGGAAGAGTCACTCCTCCAGTGTTCCGATGGAAAAGTAGGAGGACAAGGGCAGAGGGGCAGCGGGGGAAGCGAGGAATTTTTAAGGGGGAAGAAAAATGCACGGAGTGTGTGGTTGTACATGGAAAGAAAGAGCGTCTTGGTCCAGTGCAATACGAAGCAGCACACGACTCTTCCACCCATTCACTGTATCCTCCTCCCCACTGCGAAGAAAAGCTTAATGAGAATGGCTGGTACATGAACGAGCCACTACACTTTCCTCCGTTCACTAACCCACCTGCATTCCCTCAAGTCTGCGCGTGTGTGTTAAGTGGCGGGATAATGCAGTGGTTGTGGAAAACTCTCGCGCGCCGGGTGGTTGCGCAAAGGCAGCGAACGTTGCCCGGAAAATCTGCTTCCAGTGGTTGTCCGCGGGAGGAGAGCATGACTGGTTGACGAACTTTTTTTGTGGGCCGACCGACCAAAGAAGAGAGTCGACCAAGGGGGAACGTGTGCAGCAAAGGGCTGGGTGGAGAGGGAGAGAAAGAAAAAAAAAAAAACGGTAGTTGTCATACACCTTGTGTGGAGAGATAGAGAGGTGTGTCTGTTTGGTGGAAAAGGAGAAGGAGGAGCAGCATCCGTAAAAACAGAGCCAGGGCAGAATAACTGAGCGGGGGTGGGGCTGGGGGGGTGATCCAGTCTTCTTTCTCTTCCTTTCGTCGTCTCCCATCCCTTGGTGCTGCTGCTGTCTTCACCCTAGTTCCATATCTTGAGGAAACTGTCCCAGGAGCCGGTGGCGACTGCCATGCCGTCTTCAGTGACTCCCAGGCAACTCACACGGTTGTCGTGACCAGCCAAGACACCTACGTACGTCAAAGAAAAAGAAAACATTCGTCGGGACAGGGACGACCTATCAGCGAAAGTGCCACGTCAACTTTTTCAAACTTGCACAAAAGACAACACCACTATAGGAACTGTAACCTTTCAGACAGAGTTGTTTTAACATCTAAGCTATCAACTTTCTTCATGACTGCACGAAACTTTCAATTATCCTAACATATTGGAACACCTCCAATTTTGAAGGAAGTTTATACCCATAATTTAAACGTCACCGGTTTAAGAGAAAGTCCTGGCATTGCTTGGTGTGCAACGAACAGATTCCCATTCCAAAACGCAACCACACACTTGGTGACAAGCAAAATACACAAATATTGCAGCCGAAAACATTTCAGTGCTCTTACTTCAGGGTGCTTTAATTGTAGAAAAAGGGGGGAAAAGAGGGAGGTGGGGGTGGAAACAAGCTTTTTGAAGCCCAATCGGGAACTCTGCAAACATCAAGGTGAATCGCTCTGTAACACCAACATTAAGATGAGAAACTCATGATGAATACAGTAAAAATACTGAAGCTTTTCGTACCGCCGTCTTACGTGACCTAGCGCGTGCAATACAATAACTTGGCCGGCAAACCTCTTTTCAACTGTTCATTAGAATTGAGAACAAATAAGGAAATAACAGTTTGCACTTGGCAATGTACATTCAAGAAATGAGAAGAGCTACAGTACAGTGTTCGGTATAGCACAGTAATGTGGTGAATATTAAGGCCTGTGATGAGCATATAGTTACAGCTGACACGACAGATAAGCAGTGTAGGCATTTTATCAATAAATGTGCTCTTTGAAGAAAACACGAAGCATGGAACAGATAAACAAAAGAGAAACTATAGAAAGACACAGGAATAGATAGAGAGATGATGTTAAGGTCATGCTAATTATTATCATAATACCATGTTAATTATTACCACATAGTCAAGACCTTGCTAATTAATACTTTGCTAATAATTTAGGGTTGGCCTCAAATTCACATGTTAGGCTTTGCACCACAGGTGCAGTTTGCCCACATTTCATTGATTTATACGTATTCTTTTTCAGAAAAACAAATAGCCCAGTGCTTTGCAGGCAGTCCATTTTTCTTAACAAAAGAGTGCTTCCTACACTATGCACCGAAGTCTTTCACAACTGGACGAGACTGGTTGCAACGTGGACGCTTAATCTGAGAATACAGCACCGCAGTAGAGTTAAGAATTCGTCCAACCTTTCTGAAATGCTGCTTTACATAGTCACGTGGTTGTGTCACCACCCCTAGATGCCCTGTGATAGTGATGATGAAGCATGCAGAACAAAATCTGGTACAGAGAAAACCATTATTGGGCTTTAAAATGGCAAAAACTCGTTGGCATGAATTCATAGTGAAAATAACAGCATGGGTCTACGACAGATGACAACAGCACAGAGTGCTGTTCTATTGTTTTCTCCCCTGCACCAAAGCTGTTTTTCATGAGATATTATTGGGCTATCTTGCGCCCTCTGAAAGATAAACTCAAAGTACAAGAAATACTCCTTTGCACAGTGACAACTGTGAGCATGGCTGTCAGGCGCCCGCTGATCTAATCATTGGTAGAGTACCTGAAACTTTTACACATTAGTGATTGACCCTACCAGCTTGCATAAGCTCCCGTAAAAACTCGACTAAAGTCGAGCCCCTTTATAAGAGACACTAATACAGTCGAATCACGATAATTCGAACTCGAAGGGGCCTGTAAACTTGTTCAAATTAAAAGAAGTTCGAATTAATGAAGGCTAAGTAAATGGAGGGCTCCCTATGCAATGGCGCACGTGCTTTGAGCTAACACACGAGGGAGAAGTTTCAGAAGAGTTACATTTATTTACTAATTACAGGACATCCGCCAGTAATTGAAGTATTCGGTGATGCGCGTCTGCACACGTTTGCTTAGCAGTGAGTCAATCAATTTTGCACGCAGCTTGCAAAGCATGTCTGCTTCGACTCCAGCATTCTCCTGGCAAGAGAAGTTGCGTGAGGCAATGTCCAGCCCTGACACTCTCTAAAGACGACCACAACGACTGCATCTCCACAACATGGTTAGCACGTGACGAGAAAGGAGGAGCGTCTCCACACGGAGAGAAGCAGATCGTCATTTTTTTTTGCTCTTGTCGCACGCATCGTTGTAAGGAGAAGGGTTATGTGGCAGGGACGGGAAAAGGAGATGCGGGGCACCGTTGCGTGAGAGAGAGCCACACTCCGTGACAGCACCCCCCCCCTCCCCTTGTCTCTTTGCTCGCAGTGTTGGAAGGAAAAGGGTCTTTACGTGGCAGGGGCGGAAAAGGGAGAAGCGTGTCACAGGCCCATCGCAGATCGGCATTTCAGAGAGTGCAAACATTTTACCGCAGCCTTTTCTTTCCTTTCCTTCGCGCACAGCGTTGAGGTGTCAGAGGTGCCGCCGCGGGATCGGGCGGGGTGCTGAGAGCATTTTCGGAGCGTGGCATGTTCGAATTAGCCGTTGTAAGTGCTTGTGCATTTGAATTACTGGGCATTTTCTCCCATTGGAATACACATAGGTTTGACGGGACCTCATCGTGAGTTCGAATTAACTGGAAGTCCAAATTAAGCATGTTCGAATTAATGAGATTCGACTGTATAAAAGACAAATGGGTATAAAAGACATCAGCGTGCCTACAGTAAAATACAGGTTTATAAGAAAATGCATATGTGGTACCCTACTTATAAGAGACATCTCATTTACAAGACAATAACTACTGCCTGAAGCATGCCTCTTATAAAGGGGTTTAACTGCAATTCTGTATTGTGCATAATCTTAACAGAAAAAGCTGAAACAATCATGACGTTTCTCAAACATTACGGCGCACCCTGCACCATGCAGTGTGGGTTAAACCCGATCGCATCGAACTAAAGAGATGTGGCAGTGACAAACAGTGCGCGACACCCACCTGCCCGTTCAGCCTTCATAGAGTCCCAAACGTTGCAGTTGAAGTCGTCATAGCCAGCCAAGAGCAAGCGGCCCGACTTGGAGAAGGCCACCGAGGTGATGCCGCAGATGATGTTGTCGTGCGAGTACATGGCCAGCTCCTGGTCCGCCCGGATATCGAACAGGCGGCAGGTTGCATCATCCGACCCCGTCGCAAATGCATATCCATTCGGGAAGAACTGCAAAACCCATACGAAAGGGATATCAACCTGTGCTCTGGTGCAGTGCACATTTTGTTAGGCAAGATTCTTACTTATTTGAATTTTTTAAGCATTTGAAATGCAAGAAATTCATTGAAAGAGGCATTTGCAAGAAAGCAACACGAAATATGGGTATACAAAACGGCTGCCTTCAAATAATAAAATTATGATCATTGAGACTTGGGGAAGAACCCAGGGGGTTTCTCAAACTGCGTCCCACGGAATGACGGGTTTCTGCAAGTGGTCATAACGAATGTGGCCTATGCTTAAACCCCTTATTTATTATTTAGAGAAGAAAATTTGCATTGCATTTGACAGTGACATCACAAGCTGCATCTACACATAGAAAGAGAGTGAGTTAACAAGAGAGTTTTGCAGCAACACTAGTGATACTTGACCTGTAGGCATTGTGTGCACCATAAACTTTTTGCAATGTGTGGACCAGCTGCGATACTGCTTGTGGAGCACTGGTAGTTCACGCTCGCACGTCCAGCTTGACACATGTGCGGCAATCAGGAAATTCAGCAAGCTGAGACTGGAGTTACTCTTCAAAAGTTTTGTGAGTAGCGTTATCTGCAGCTCGTGGTGCATTGGGGCTTGCATGCCACAGTTTCAATGCACAAAGAATCACCACGAATTACATCGTTCTTGTAATCATAATGTGCAATGAGCACTTATGATGTGCACGAAAGGCATTGCTGGGGGTGCCAGCTGTAGGCAACCCGTGCATTTAGGCTTAGCCTTGTGACTGTTGTATTAATGGTTATGCGACAAATATAAGAATGTAAAACATGCTTTTGTTTGTTCTTAGCTTCATTTTGCATGGAGAGAGAGTTCACTGCACAAAGCAGGGAAAACAAGGGTAGAGGGGGGAGGGCCTGTGCATTAACAAATGAACAGCAATGACCTTGATGATTAAAGATAACAGGCCAATGTGGCAGAGTTGATGTCAATACTATGGTGACACGGTGACACAGATGTAGAAGCACTAGCACTCCTAAATTTTCATTATGCTTAAAGGGGCTCTGCAACATTTTTTTAGCATGGCCAGAAAACGCTGCCGATTACTCGAAAACACACCAGCCAAATATAAAGCAGCAAGCGGCCTGGAATCCACAATAACTTATCAGTCATCTAAAAATAGCTTTCTCGTCTTTCGAGAAACGACGAATGACTCTGAAAAATCGCGCGCAAAAGGCCATCTATCAGCCATCGGCTGATTTGAACACAGTGCGAGCAGTCGTTACAGGGGTCGCCGCGTATTCTATGAAAAAAAAAAAAAAAAGTGCCTAAGGTCACAGGCGCGTGTGACATATTTTCTTTGCCCCGGCCATCCCTCTCTGCTTAGCCTCCAGCGCTTTCGCCGGGACGAGAGAAGAGCGAACGCGATTGCAGTGTGCCACAATTCTTTGCAACCCTGCTCGTACTAGACAAATTCCTAAAATTTTTGAATGCATGAGGCAACAAGCTCTTTTAGTGATTCCATTTCATGGTTACTTGAAAAAGTGTTTCAGGGCCCCTTTTAAGCACATCTGTGTAATGTGGGAACCAAGAGGTTCTGCGGCACTCCGGAGAAGATGCAAGGGTTCCCAAGGCCAGAAGTTTTAGAATCTTTTTAGAACCTATGCCAACATGCCAGTGTTCTAAACTATGTTACAAATGTGAGCAGATTTAACTCACCGTCACTGCATTGATGTCAGATTCATGCCCTGGAAACGTCTGCTTGCACATGCCGTCACGGACATCCCATAACTGTAACACCAGCAGAAAAACCATGAATGAGAAAAAGAAAAAAAAAAAAAGCACAGTGCACACATGAAACAGAACAGGGATGCCAACCAGCTCATAGAAATGCTAAACAGTATTGAGCTACGAGACAGTGCCCAGAAATAACCGTGGTTAAAAAGGCTTCAGCACAGTACGCCTGGGGAGCTCTTCTCAAGGTGTCCACCTAGTGGCCATAACCACTTCAGCAAAGTGCACCCAGTTACTTGAAAAAGTCGCGAGCCGTGACGTCACCACAGTCTTGATCACGTCGAAGCACTTAACCCGCCAACACATTGCCAGCATAGAGAACGAAAGTGGACGAAATGTACAGTAACAGGACTCTTACACAATTTGACAAGCCTGAACTTTAGTAAGAACGTGTTGGGATGTGTGATGAATGAAGCAGATAATGCGTACCGACCTTCGAAGAGTGTCAGCTGGGCGCTCCAGTCAAGCCTAGTTCAAAAGCTAAGGTATTCAGAGTTCGTGCACGGCCTCTGAGATACGCATCTGAAAGCGGATCTCTGGGGCCAGCATTTGTTACAGCGAAGCGCTTTCTGCCTTTCTCGTTTGTGTGAAGAGTTGTGGAAACTTCGCGACGTCAAAATGACGTTGCGGTAGAAAGACCATAAACAGGTGGTGTGCTGCTCGCTGAGCTCCAGCCAATCAGTGGAGGCCGCAGCGGACACCCTCAACTACCATTTTAGCAAGCTGATGCATTGGTAACTAGAGGCATTATGCGGATACGCATGAAATTAATGCCTCTCCTATTAGTTCTGTTGATATAGCAGTTGAGATGCTATCGGCGTTTCCCCAAAATGCGATGCGGAGCGCGCCCGCCATTGGCTACTGCGCTGGAAGCGGGGGTGGTCCCTCCCGTTTATAGCACATTCAGCGCGCTTCATCTTGCTGTTGCTCTCTGCTCCGTCCGCTTCGATAGACATTTGCTTGCGGGCTGCTTTTTGCCTTGCACTGTATTTTCGATCAGTTTCTCTTATTTTTTTTTCTTTTCGCTCAAGTTCTGTGCCCTTTATCTTTGTTGCTGTGCGTGATGCCAACAACGAAGCTAGAGTGTACTGTACTAGAAGTGTTGAGTGCGGTGACCGCGCCTCGCTGCCTGAACCTTTCCGTGCTGCCCGTAGCGGCGGCGCTGCAGTCGAACAGTACTGAAAGAGCCGCGCGCCGCGTGCAGGAACTGCTATGCGCTTCGGCTCCTCCATTGCACTTTCTTGATGCAAATTTCTTTGTACCTGCCCATCATTCATGTCTAGCACACAATGCCATAGGTTTTGAAGTATGACACGCCAATCTAATGAATTTGAGCTCCATAAAAGCCCTTGTGAGAGATCGAAAATAATTCAGAAAGGCTGTGGCTTATACTGATTCTCCTCTCTTAACTCTCTCTTCGTTGGTTAGGCTTCCACAATATTCAGAATAACTGAGCTGATATATCGGAAGCTAGCTGTGCTCTGAAAGCTGTGATATTACTCTGAATCGGTACCGCTGAGCGTGACACCGAGTGTTGCTAAGATCGCCATACCTAGCACTTCGTCTGCATCGGGACCAATAACGTGCATGGGTCATCAATCCATCTGCGGACTCATTTCCGAAGGAAGAAATCGATACGAATGCAAGACGGCGTTCACACTTAACTCGAATCTACGCCAGCGACCCAGAAAGAATTTGAACTGGCGCAGCCGGCTCTTGAAAAAGACGCCCTATGTCTGAAAAAAATTCTAAACAGCACTTAGAGAAAATGGAGGGAAGACAACAGAGGAAAAAAGTGCACAAAGACACTTCAAGCTACTCTGCTGTGGAGCTTTTTGAGGAAAACACATGTGTTGAACTTCCAAAGTTAGTTTTCCCAAAACGGATTTTTTAGCTAGTTGTGGTGCTCAAGAAAACAATTTCTCAAGAACTGCTCATCAGATTTGTGTGCCATTTCTTTTATTCTGCTCCAGGATGATTTTTGCAGGGTGTAACAAGCTTTTTTTTTTTTTTTGAAAAGTCGTGCCATTAATTATTAATAAACAATTTTTGATAAACGTCATACCTACTGGCTACATCAAAGTTGCATAAAAACTTTTTTGGAGGGAAAAATGAAAAAAAGAACGGCTCTCTCTCTAGCTCCCTAGCATATCTATCCAGGGATGACCACAAATAATTTCAGCCTTCTGGTATGTCCTGGGATTTCTTCCGGCTCTTCCCCAGGCACACAAGTAAACCACCCAGTTACTCTAGAACCCCTGTACAGAACTTCATGAAACTCTGCAGTTTTTCTAGTTTTAATGCAGTGAACATACCCTGAAAGTTTCATTAAGATAGCTTAAAAAATAAAAAGTTGAGTTTCCGGGGTAGCCTCCCCCTTAAGTGATGGCGCAATGCTGTCCTGCGCTATGAACATCAGCGGTTGGAACGAGCAGACAACATTACCGCTGAAGTTTTTGTAGGTGTGATAATTAGCAGCAGGAAAAAAAATCTTTGTTTTTTTGCTGGGCAATGTGGTGGCTGTAAGAATTATGCGAGTGCAAGGCTAACACGAGTAAATGCGGTAGTAGCTAGGATTATACGATTCCATGTTAGAAACTTCCAAACATTCGCATTGGACTGGTGAAGTGATTAGCAAGCACAGAAAATTCTAGACTGATTTGACGCTGCTGTAAGGGCCACTCAAAACTTAGTCAAGCTGTGAAGAGCAGCTTAAAAAAAGACCATCTGGAATTTTGCGGCGAAATAAAGTTTTCCGCTGATTGACCGATTCATTTTCTACACGAAGGAAGTCATTTTCATATGTTGAATGCATTGGCAAAATTCAATTAACACACTTCGTTTGATATAGCCCTGACTTTAATAGACAAGCATGTCGACTGACCTTGGCAGAGGCGTCGCAGGCCCCAGAAACAAATGTCCGCATGTCCGGTGACAGGGAGAGCGACATGACGTCGCCAGTGTGTCCTGTGAATGATGTACACTGCTGGCCCGTTTCAATGTCCCAGAGTGCACTGCACGGTACACAGAAGAAAAGCACCTCAGTATGCATTTAGGGAGAGACCAAAATACTACATGCGAGACGCGGTAAGTGGGGCTGGAAAGCTGTTTCGTCTTATTTTTGTGATTGTGGAAATACCATTTGCAGGTGTAAACATTACAGAACATGCTTCCATCCTTCATGTCTACTCGATAGACACTAGTAGGGTTGCCACCTGTCCGGCTTTAGACTAGCTTGGCCAGTTTTTTTAAAAAAAACGGGCTGGTTGCCGGTCCGCACCCGCTGCCGTGGGCCACTGCATTCCTAAGGCATGACACAGCGTCTATTGCTCAACACTATTTTAATCTCCTGGTAGCTCATCTCTCCTCCTCCATCACGAGGAGAAGTCTGTTTTCTTGTTCGAAAAAAGGTGGCAACCCTGGACACTTGCAAAAGCAACTGATGATGCTGTAGTGTCTTGTTATCACACACTAAGATGCAACCATTCATTGTATGTACTGCATTGAAAGGCATTCAATACATCGATTTATTGGCTTTCACAGTGCAGAATGATGTCAATAAATATCACAATAAAAAATGCCATTGCCTCTACATTGAGAAAAACAGCAGAGTGGTGATGGACTTCACTACATGGTGGAATTTATTTTTCATTACGATGCTTAGGTTAACACTTATCAGCTTGCTGGCACACAATTTTAAGGCTAGAATTTGTTTTATAGTTAAACATGGATATAACGAAATTGACAAATTCCTGAAAAAAAAAAAAACTTTATAAAGGGGATTTCATTATATGCAGGTTTGATACTGAAATCAGAAAAACAATCAAATTAAACAAAAAGGGAACTGAAGCCAGAGCTAACCGAAAACACTTATTTATCAGTAAAGTACTGCGGTATTATTGCGATAGCAATTATATGGACACTCTCGGCAGGCTTTTGCGGTTGCCGCCGTGTTCTGTAACAAAGCTAAATCGATAACTTGCTCCTGCGCATCGTAACATTTATGAGAAAGTAAAAGCGTGCGAGCGCTGCTGAAGCAGAGATCAAATCAGCCAGCCGATATCTATCGCCTGGAGGGAGGGCTCATACAACATCCCCCGGCGTGTCAGAACTGCCATCGAGTGCTCAAACAGAAAGGAACCCACCTGTCTTGAATGAGCAGCAAGAACGCGAGGGAAGAGGGAGGGAGGCTCGAGTAGCAGCAATGAACCTTTAATTTAAGGGCGCAGTCGCGATCGATCACTGGCGCGCGTGCTTTCTCAGCAAGCATCAGTGCGCTTTCAACGCCACGAAGCTGTGTGAAAAGAGCACTTCTCCTTGGAGTGGCCTTACTTGCTTACACGAGCGTAAATCCGATCCAAAAAGTTTGGCTGTCAGCCCTACTTTGTATAAGAGCACAATTTGTTACTATCGTATTCATTACATTGCATTCACCTCGTGTCGTGTTGTTGCCAGCATAATCGGCTAACTGCGAAGGCTATGGTCCCGCGAAGTTGCGGCGCAAGACAGAAGCATGCGACGAATCGACCTACGAAGATCCCTTGTCACTACGGTATGGGAGAGTTTCCATCAGCGCCTAACCTACAATCCCTCGGTGACGACGGCACGGTTTTCCGCATAACAATAAATAAATAAAGGAAAACTAAACATTGTCAGGGGTCAATTTATGCACACGCAGTGAAACCATGCATGCGGCGCACACAGAGTCGAGATGAAGAGCGAACGACATGGATACCGCGGAAAACTATTCGGTGAAGCGCCCTTCATATGCAGCGCGGCCCCACATATGTGACCATAACTCAAAGCGTGGCATTGCTAATGCAAAATTGATTTTCTGTTTTTTTTTTATTCTGATTTGAAGGGACCTGAGAGGGGAAGGGCACATCCGAGCGTGCACCCACGGCAGGAAGAATGGGGGCAAGGCCAACTCGTGGGAAGCAGGCCCGCCTGCCTGCCTCGCGCGCAGTTACGAGTGTTCCCTCTTGTCTGATAGTCCCCGGCGGCGGTGGGGCAGCCACGAAAGACACACGCTCGTGCCAAAATGACAAAATCTGGGGCAAAATTCTTGGATTGTTCGTGGCAAAAATTCGTTATATCAAGGATGTCTTCCGCTGTTACATTACTACATAGAGGTCACAAATACATGTACTTCTATAGAGGAACGGCAAGGAATAGAAAAAAAAAACTTCGTTAGAGGAATTCACTATATGGAGGTTTTTTTATAAGCAGGTTATACTATCTCTTTATGAGTTTTGATTATGCATATGTAGTGTTTTGTGGAGAGCAGTAATTATAATATAAATATGAAAAAAATTAAAGTGGTCAAGAACGACCCACCGCTGGCATGGACCAAACCTTATAATCTTTGATTGACACATATAGTGCTCTACCAAGATCAGCTAAAACAGCACTCTACAAAAAGTACATTTTATACTGTACACTGTGCATTGATAGAGCAAGAGCATCCAAGACATTATTCAAAGGCTGCAAGATCCAATTCCACCAAGTGGCATGTCCTCTCCCCCCCCCCCCCCCCTCCTAATTTCTTCTTATTGACATCTTCATTACTACAAATGAGTCCCCTACACTTTCTCTGGCGTTAATGTCTGTTGGTTGTCATCATTGTTATTGTTTAATAAAGAAAACAAGACCTAAAGGTCCCCTTTTTATGAGCAGTTTTTCAATGAATTAGGACAGGTTTTGTTACAGTAACAGTTTGCTGTTCAGATGTGTACACATACATAGAGAAAATCCAAACCATCAGTCCTAGTCGTCCGTGCACTCACCGCCATGCCGGGCTCTGCGTGTTTTTCTGTCAATTTCAGAATCTAATAGCTTCTTGGCACCATCATAGAGAGAGCCAGAATTTACATAATTTTTGGCAACATTTACCATAGCATCATATCTATCTCTTTATTGGTGGCGGCAGTGCACATAGAGAGATTATGTACCGTATTTACACGATTGTAAGACGACCCTTTTTTTCAAATTTGACAATCCAATGTTGGGGGGTCGTCTTAGAATCGAAACCCATGTATTGTCATCTCGAATAGTTTCCCGCTCAACCCAAAGCGCATAGTTTTCCGCGTGCTTATACAAAAGCTTTTCTTTTTTTTTAGCATCTACTGCGCGCATTACGAGTGCCTTTATGACGAGCGCACGGCTCTTGTGGGAGCACCGGTAATCGATGGAAGAGCCGCCGTAGGGGGGTATTGGTAGTTGACGGAAGAGCTCCTCTTTGTGATACAATTTTCTAAGCGGGCGCGTCGCCGCGTGCTCCTGTCGCTTGTGTCCACGACCGGCTCTCTCGAGTCACTTCTGTCTGACATGAGTGCCGTAGGCTCGAAGAACACTCGGCGCTCGTTTACGGCAGCGTTTAAGGGGAGACCCTGCTTCGGAGATAAATGTTGCTTAATTTCAAGCCGATTTTTATGAAACTTATGCACCTTATGTATTTTGATATGCAGATTTCAAATATGCAATTCTTTTTTTGGTGCATTATATAGTTTTCGAGATATCACATTTTTCAGGTTCCTTGGAAGGAGGAAGTCTGTTTTTTTTACAGTGATAGTTACAAAACAAATCAACATACCACTATAATCTAGAATGATGGCTGTATGCAATAAAACAAACATGAATGTTCTAAGCCCATTTGAACAAAAGTTATGGCATGTCAAATTTTTGGAAGTGAAATCCCAGCTTGACATGAAATCGTTAAATGTGATTTTTAAAATTATGTCTATTACTTACAATATTCAATTCAGTCTTATTTCAATCTACATTAGTTTACCAAGCTGTCAACACAAGAATTAGAGTAATATCATGACCAGAAGCTGAAATATCGCTTCTCCTAAATAGCAAAACCACCAAAATAGCAATTTTGAGAAAACGAGGAAAAACGTTTTAAAAGTTGTTTATTAGCAGAAAAATAGTGTAAATGTCACTGAAGTCATTCAAAATGACCCAGGTGCATAATCAGGATGCATGGAGTCTTTATGCTTTTTTGCGACATTTTTTTCAGTCCTTCTGATGCTGCATGCCTCTTCGTGGACATGGCACTCCGACGTTTGTCTTTCTCTGCTGTTCGCATCTTGCCAGTGTTGGTTGCATTCATTCCAAGTTCTTGCAGAATTGATGCTGCAGAGTGTTTGTTTCCTGCATTGAAACGCAACACAGCTTCAGCAACTGCTGCTTGCACAGCAAAAAGGGAAGAGTGCTGCTCTTTGGAGATCAGACTCCAAATAACTGAATGCAAGCTTTCATTCGAGTTTTGAGTTTTCCCTCTTAGACATCTTTGCAGCAGACTCCTGTCAGACAGACGTTCGTAAACAGGCAATAATGCCTCTGCAACTTCTTTGGGCAAGTTGTACTTGTGTTTTGGCTCGTGCATACCTTTTGCCTTTGCGGCATTGTGCCGGCACCAAGACTGCTCGCCTGTGGGGCACAAACTGTGATTCGAGCTTTCGTCAGTGGATGTGATGTGATGGTACGTGGCCATCACAGCTCGCTGCATTTCATCCACATCCCCTTGATGTGACTTGAGCGCACGACCATAGTAGGTGCTCAGTCTGGTGATGAGGTCGGCAGTGAGTCGCCCCTTTCCTCCCAGACTGCGGCCTTCGGTTTTCTGCTTTTGAACTAAGTTCCTCAGAGCCGTCCCCATTCGCTTTTGCACATGATTTGTGCAGTCTTCTTTCTCTACGTCAATAAAACCATAAACTTTGGCATCCCTTATAGCATTGTACGTTCTGCTATCGCCGTCACACAAGACTGTCGTATAGCGGAGATTGCGCCGCTCAAGGGACCTTTCAAAAAGAATGAGGCCTTCTTCTACTTCCATTTGCCCAGATTTACAACTGGTGTTCTTCTGGCAGCGATGAGCATCTTTCCATTGCTCATAACCCTCGCTACCGGGTTTCAGTCCCACATCACAGCCCAAACAAAAATTTGAAAGTACGACGTAATCGAGAACATAACCAGTGAAGAGTTCAATAACTGCTCCGACGCCAATGTGCGAAGAGTGACCCCGGGTCATCCAGCTCCCATCAAAACACACTGCAATATTACCACGGTGACCAAAGCACAAGTCCTCGTAGAGCGACGACACTTCACGCGCGCACTGCTGCATAGAATCTTCAGCTGCTCGCGTAGCAGCGGGCTCCAGCTTATTTTTTAGATGCCGCTGAAAAGTCTTTTTATGCATTGCGCGACTGCTCAGCCCCATTGCGGAAAATATGTCGTTCATCGCAGTTTGGCCGTTACCAGTCGAAAGCATCGCGCGTCCCGCGAGCATATTTATCGCAAATGGTCTTGATCTTACCGAGTGTTCCACTCGACGCGAACTCCAAGCATCCCCAATATCGCCACAGTTGTCGCACACCGCGTGTAGCTTCACTGCCAAACCGTACTCACGATCTCCACGGGTTAGCTTGACTTTTCCTCGGCAGATGTGACAACGCATAGTTTGAAGAATAAGATCATTGACAGCGTCAAGTTCGACGATGGTGTACGGAGCTGCAGGTTCCGTCGCCACAGTCTCTGCGCCGCTTCGTCGGCTGAAGTTTTCGATCTTCCGCGCGGTCGCTGGTGTTGATCCAAGCTGTCGAAGCACTTTTTGCTCCCGTGCATGCGCCCCCCGCACTTCCTCCTCGGTCACGAGCGCAGAATCTAATCTCGCAACACCAGCGTGGGTTGCGAAAGCATTATCGCATTGCAAGGCTGGCGCCGATGAACCGCCGGCGTCCGTGGCATGGCCAGGCGATGCTCCGTGAACGGCTGTCTGCGACGATGCCGGGTCCTTTGCACGCACTTTTCCCCTTCGTCGTTTACGCCCAAAGTGGTGGCGCGTATGGAACTTTTTCGCACCGCCAGGCATGATAAACTTCGTGCGCCGATCAAGCGAGCAATCCACAGAGCGGCGAATCGAGCACAACGGCGGTAGGCACACGCTGTCCGAGTCAAAATGGCGGCGCACGATGGCGGCACTTAGGCCAATCAGAGGACAGAATCCTGATCACGTGCCTCATTTGACCAATGGCAACGCGTGAAAGCTCTTTTTTGCGGGTGCTTTTTTCTCGTTTCTCAGGAACGCACAGGGTTGCCAAAGGATAAAAAAAAAAGTCTGAAACGCAAGCTATTGAACAACACCAAAATGGCGCCGATGGAGCGTACCGTTGCCAAGCGGCGCGCGATCAAAATGCAGGGTATTTTTGCCCATTTTAGAGAGAAACGCTCGTAAAACCGCATCTTTAGATCTTAATAACAAGAAAAATATGCAGAATTTGGGAATCAAATTTTGTAGAAAGGTGCAAAAACGCGTCAGGAACACGAAAATTAAGAGAATGAAAATTCGATTTTTGGGCAGATTTTCGGCTTGAAAAGCCCGGTCCCCCCTTAAGCGGGCTGCTATTCTTCATGCGGAGGAAACCAACAACTGTGCAGCAGGACGGAAGTTCGGAATCGGTCCTCTCCGCATGGGCGGCCGTCCCACGCGATGCCGTGGTGCGGTCGTTCGCGAAGTGTGGACTCGCACTTGACGACGACGTGCTGTGGGACTGCAGCAGCAATGACGGCAGCAGCACCAGCGAGGACGACTCCAGCGACGATGAATAATCCTCCGCAACCACGTGAATAAATTTCCCTTGTGTAAAATGCGCGCGTTCTTTTTTTTTTTTTTTTGAGATGCGATTTTGGGGGGGTCGTCTTACATTCGAGTCGTCTTACAATCGTGTAAATACGGTATATTGATGTAACTGGGTAGTACTGTTCAGTGCGTAGTTATGCTGATATTGAAGTCTGCAGGTTATATTTTGGTTCACAGTAAACTGCAGCATCTCAACCCAGTAAAGCCCGAACCACACATACACCGTGCATACTATGCCCAAGCGTGCGCTGTACACGCTCCGGGGACCGAGCATGCGCAGTTGTCGTAAGTGCGCCTGTACGTTCTGCGTACACGAGTGTCTGCAGCGATCCGATTTAGGCCTTGAGCTGGCGCGTGTCTAGCCACACTGGCCGCTTGGACCCCTGCAGATACGAAACCACACACTGGCTATACTCGGACATCAACCTAGCTAGCGTGTAGAAACCAATTTATATCACCTTTTCTTTTCGTGCATATTTTACATCTTTACATGCAGGACAAGTACACTCACAGCCATATGTATTCATTCACAAGCTCTATTCATTGTTTTGCCGCAATATATGACTGCATGAAACCACTTAGCTCTATTTCGCACGACGTGTCATGCACATCGTATACCGGTGCACACCATGCACTCTAGTGTGTTCTTGTGATCACCTGGCCAAGCTTTGTAGTGCTGAATAGCTTTAACCAGTTGCACTGGTTGGGCTCAATCACATCGCGGTTGATTTGGCATAGCTGCGATGTGCAGTGCACTCGTGTACGCACTCATGTTTGCCTGGCCATGCTAAGTGGTGCGGTATGACTCTGTACGGCACTACCTGGACTTATGGAGAGTGGTCAAATTCATATAAATCAGTTCGAAGCTTACAAACAGCTCAGTACGTGATGCCACCAACCTATTCCCACCTGCCTGGGGCAAGTGCATGCCGCCACACACCGTCACGCATAGTGTGTCGGTGGAAATCGCCTTGTCTCGTGAGTCCTGCCCAGGGTACGCGCGTTGACGTGCTTCTGCTCACTCTCAGGCAGCATACGTGTGGTTCGGGCTTAAGACAGCAAATTTTTTTTTTCAGAACTTTAATGAATTTGTAGTATTCACCAAGTTTGTTTGAAGGCACCAACTTGCATGTGAAATGCAAAAAAAAAAACAAAAAAAAAACAAGTCCAGTGTTTCAGAGCAGGCCACCCTTTATGAAATGTCAATTTATCTACACAACTTTCTGCCTTGGGCTTTTTTCCTCAGTTTCCTTTGTCCCCTTGTCCTATAGTACCAGGTGGACATCAATTTCTCTCTTTTGTAAACTTTTCTTCACAATGCAAGCTCTGACAGACATGAAGTAAAACAAGCTGTGTGCATTTGGCTTAGATGACATCCCCTCTGAAGTTTCAGTCTAAGTCTCTTATTTCTATAGCTATTCCTCATTATACCACCAACATAGCATAACCATCAAATTAGGTTTAAAACGAAGATTCGCCATGATGCAAGGAACAGAAGCTACGCACTCACCATGTCATGTCCCCAGAGCTAGTGACGATTTGAGAGTCATCCACAAAGCGGCAGCATGAAAGGTAGCCTGTGTGGCCGGGAAGCTCTCTGCTGACCCGCACATTTCCTTCGCGCGTCTTTAAACTGTAGATGGAACAGATGTTGTCCAGACCCCCGCAAGCCACATAGCTCCCAGAAGGAGCGTACGCGCACGTCATCACCCAGCTTGACCTGAGCGGGATAGCATGCACCTTGTTGGTGGTGTATGCATCCCACACGATCAACTTGCCATCCTGAGACGCCGACACCAGGTAGCTGTAGAAAAACAATCCCAGAGAGTCAACATCGTGACACACTTTGCCAGTACGCCATGTGCTGTGCATTGTATTTCAAATGTTTCAAGCAGTAGTAGATGTCAAACCCGTTTATAAGAGACACTTATGTAAGAGACAAATGGGTATAAGAGACAAGTGTTAATAGAGAAGCACATGTGGTACCCTCAGGGGTGCAACAGTCAAAATAGAATTTGGAGCAATTTGTGGAGTAATAAAACCCAAATTTAGAGTAGGCTACGAGAAAAAAAAAAAAACAAATTTTTATTGTAGAAAGACCAAATTTGGACGAGTATAAAAAAGAAGGCTTACATTTAATATGAAAATTATGTACAAAGCATTCAGCCCATCTAAATCGTGCCTAGTGAACACAAGCACTGGTATTTCAATAAAAAGTAGTGTTCTGAATTACGCCACTGGGATTAGCATTTGCCACCCCTGTCGAATTCTTTGACAGGATCTGCGAATTCATATGAGGCTCTGCCTAGCTGGTGGCCTTAAAATTCGGGAGATTCTTAAAACCCAGGAGTAGGGGTGGCAGAAAAAAAAAAAAGGGAGCAAAAAAGTTTTTTTAGGGCAGAAGAAATGTTATATGGAGCTCCAAATGAGTGCCAGTAACTTTTTTAGACGTCAGCGATCATATTAGTACTCAAAGTTATGCAGCGCATACATGCACGAGTAATTGAACAAATTGTGCTATGGCCACGTGACTAGCGCTAACAGCCCCTTCAAAATCATATTGTACTTTTCCTTGGAATGCTGGTGTACTGCAACAAAGGTGGCTTATGTAGCGATCTACACGCATTAGAACAAGACCAAGCAATTTTCGAACAACTAAATTGCCCTAACTCTCTCGTTTTTTCCTTTCACAGGGTTAGGTTTAGAGCACAGTTTCTTGGCTCGCTTACAAGGCGCGTAAAACCAGATGAAGTAACAACGGCGTGTGCCCATTGGCCCAGCGACGGCGCCAGGTGTCTGTTACTGGGTTGATGCAACTTTGAGCTAGAAAAATGGTTAATGTGTCGCTGCTAGGCAACCAATGTGGTGGCTGGCAACGGTGACTTTAGCAGCACGTCTACCGTGTAAGAGCACGGAAAACGTGACATACGTTTTTAACGTGCCCTAACCGCGCTGGCGGACTCGCAAATTCATATTTCTTGTGAAGCATTAATGGCTAAGGCAACATATTTTTCTTTGGCTTGAAAGTTCTTTCATCCAGCCGCCAGGTACCTGCTGTGGTCAGTGGATCGAAGGGTGAGCGGCGTTGTTTCTTCATCTTATACTTTACCTGGGCGTTCACGTCTCGTGAGGGTCCTCATCTAACGCGTGTATAACTTGTACCATGGTTTAGGGTTACGGTCTGTGCACTTAGTTTGATTAGTGACGCGAAGTTCAGATGGCCAATGTGGTCTCCATTTCTCGCTGACATTAGGGCAACTGAGAAAATTTTGAGGCTGCTCGGGCATTTTGGCATAGTGCAGCACAACAATGAAGTATCAAATTGGCACAATTGTCGCAGCTGTTGCGTCCCTGGGTACCCTACCCTGCTGCGCAGACTGCCCTGTTAAGCTTTTTACTATGGTGACTTTCCTTTCCAGCGAAACAGCAAGCTGTTCGCTGACACCTGCAAATATGGACGAATCCGGCGAAGCCATCCAAAACATGTGGTCGTAAAAAAAAATAGGCCCAGCAAACGATCGATCTGAAGAAGCAGGACAAGGGGGCAAGGCTTACAAGTTGACTGTGCATACCAGATGACCGCCTGTTGAACCGGTTCAGCAACATAACGCAATGTGAAATGCGACAGCTTAATGATGAGAACACTGATAGGCTCTAAAACGCTGCACTGTTTGGAAGATCACCCAATAGAGTGCTTTGTGCAAGCATGCATGCGTCTTCGCTGCACCTGCTCCTTGCTCATTTGCTCTGCACGCCCTTTTACTCCACTTAATGACCTCGTCTCTCTCTCTCTCTCTCCTATCAGCGCTCCTTGAAGCACCTGCCGCACCGCATTGAACACCCGACAGCGGGTGTTCACTGTCACGATTGTCTGCCAAACTCCGGGGCATCCGCACAGTAACCGGGACATCGCCTCACACAACTGCACTATAAGCAATATGCATATACACAGAATTCTATAGGAGAATCATCTGAGTCTGAAAAGGCTGTATTACATCCTGTCCCACACTATAACATGCCATGAAGTCCTGCAGCAACGTAAGAATGAGGCAAATGTTAAGAAAACAAAATGGCAGTGCTCACCGGGAGTCTGAACCCCAATGCATTGCGTAGATCTTGGCCAAATGTCCCCGTAGCGTTCGCCGCGTCCGCATCTGGATGCGACCCACTGGTTCCATGTTGGCCGTCGCTTGTACCAACGTGGTATCACATGCAGCTTTTCGTGCATCCTGAAAAAAAAAAAAAAGTCAAATCACACCCATGAGTGCCGATAATCACAGCCTACCAAACAGCAGTGTCAAGCAACTGCCTCACAAGACTTATCATTCCTTGGCTGGAAAAGTGGTACTTTAGTGGACAGTGCCCTCATTGGATTTTGAGCTTGGGTCTAGTATTGTGCAACTTTACAGTATGTTTATGAGGGAAACCACAGTAAATGGCTTTGACTGATTTTAACACTTGTGATGCGATCTTGTACGCATTCTAAATAAAACGGAGGCGTTTCATTTTATCAAGCAGCATGCGATTGGTGAGCCGTGGTCATATCTAACCAATCGCATACGGCTCAATAGAGCGGTACTCTTCCGACTCGTTTGGAATGAATACAAAGTCATGCCCCTACGCTTCTAAATGTTTATCTAATACACAGGATATGAGTGTCCTCGCCTTTTGCCACCATCAATTAGCAGTCACCTCCAGAAACCAAACATATCCATGATCTCATACCCAGTATGGCAACAGTTATCAGTCAATACTCATCAACAATGGCAGAAGAGCGTGAGATGGCAGAAGACACTCAAACTGCTGAATTCCCTGTGTTCAGCAGTAAACTACGATATCGTTTGTATGCATTGCTGCTGGTAACCAAGCTAGCAAGCCATATTGAAAATATTTCCTTTCCTTCATTTTTCTTTGGATTATGCAACATAGGCCTCCTCCCACTTTCTCTCCAGTGCCTCACACTTCGCTCAACCAGCCATGGATGCAAAAGCAACCACGTTTCTTTAAGATTTATTCACTCTTTATTTACAGTAGCTGCATTAACTGCATGCAGAAACATATAGTTGGCCGTATTGGTGAGCACAAGTCAAATCACACCACCTATAATGTTGACATAACACGTGGGACTTAACAGGCACTACTGAGGAGGAAGGAGGAGGGGCTGGAGATTAAGTACAACCATCTGAAGCTAAACAATGCACACCTAAACGTGGCAATGCTAGTGATCCCCCTTGCCCCATTGCAATGAAGCTACCATGTCCCAGAGATGAGTGAGCACTCTCACATTAGTAGCAGAACTCAATGTGTGTTGAGACCAGCTTTCTCATAGGTGCGGATAAACGGAAATCCAGTTGCAAACGTACTGAACTGATGAACAAAACACGTGCACCGGAAACAATATGTGCAACACCAGCTTTTATCCAAAGGGAACGGAAAGCGCCAGCTTCATTCCTGCATTTGTATGTTTTTTTGGCAGAAATATGGAAAGAAAACATACTGTAGCATAAATGTAGCACATATTTTTCTTCCAGCCATTCACTAAAGCTAAGCCATGTTTGTGCAAGTGCTTATGGAACAGTGCCCCCCTCCCCTTCCTCACATTGTGCAACCACTTTCTCAAATTTCAGGAAGGCAACAAAAGAACTCCGATGTAGATCCAGTCAGAGCAGAATTTGAACTCGACCCGGAAGCCGCATCGCGAGGTTGGTGCCCCAGCGACCGATTTCCAGTTTACCAACGGCAGGAACGGGAACTGCCAGTTGGGGGGAGGGGGGGGGGGTACAGGCACGAATGCGCCCTCCTTTCCTTCGCCCCCACTGCCTCCATGCGTGCCTACTCCGGCTTTTGAAGAGCCACACGAGTGACACCCGTGACCTTCGAGGCCCGCGCTGGGCGAATGACGTCAGACTGACGTCAAGACCGAAATCCAGGGCTCGCGGGTGGGGGAGGCGCTGACCGCGGCGAGGGAGAAGAGAGGCTTGTGCCCCTCCCTCCCGCTTCTCGGCGCAGCTTCCTCCTCCCACTCCTACCCATCATCATCACCGGCAGAGCGGGCCGCGGGTCGCTCGCAGAGTTCTCCGCCCCGAAAAGGAAAGAAAGGCGGGTGCTACTCCCACACCGCGTGCGCGGAGGCACGTTCGCCAACCGGCTTTGGAAAGAGCGTACTTCGCTCCATCACCCGCGCGCTCCTAATGGGCGCGTTCTAATCGCGCACCATCGCGATTGAAAGTCCGAAAGATGCCGAGCAGTGTACAATGATGCCGACGTCATTCCCTACGCCCTCCTCGAATACTCCTAGAACGGCTCATTGACTTTCCTTCGACGACATCAGCAAATTTGTGGGAGGGCTAATCATATCTGCAAGTGTAATGCTTGATAGTGCATCCCGACGCCATACGTCTCGCGCTATGTCGGTCGCGGACCTTCGACTTGGCTAGCACGATGGCACGCACTACCGCCGCGCTGCAGGAGGCATCGACAGACTGTGCGCACCGACGGCCGAAAATACAGCAAATGAGGAAAGTAAGGTTTTGTAAAACAGCGATGTTAAATCTTCATTTCATTCTGTCCGGCAACCTCTATCCTTGGGGCAAAAGACAAGAATATGCAGAGAAAAATAAAACGCCGCTCGGCACCGCCAGCAAGTATCCCGAAAGTTCCCCAGAACGTCCAATATTTTGGTGCGCCAAACTATTAGAACGCTTACACATTTAAACACATTTTAAAAATGGGCCGCAGATGATCCTTCAATGTGTAGTAAGGTTGCTATGGCGCTAGCGTCGTCAAGGATATATGACACCAACGCAAGCTGGCAGACGGTTCCGACTTAAGCCGGCCTTTGGAATAAAAGGAATCCTGCTACAACCCCGCTAAACAAGATGGTTTGCTACAACCCCCGGGGTCATTTTACTACGACCCAGAGAGAAAGAGCCCTTTGAGCACGTCAAGATCCGCGCAACATTGCAAGATCAGTTAAATAATAAAAAAGGCATTATAACGCAAAGCGTGTATACGACGGCAGAGCGATAGTTCCGCCACAACGATGCCGGAAGGAGCAAGGCCGACGAAGACGACGTGCAACGACGCAATGGCGAATTCACGTAAGCTCTCGTTCATCCGAACTTTCCTCGCGGATCGGTGATGCGTGCGCTGCGCCATACACGTCACCATGTGCGGGGCCGGGAAAAATACACAGGCACTACAGGGCGTACAAAGCTGCCTGGAGAACGCCGCCGCCGCAGCTGCGTCCGACAGCGATCCCGATACGGGAGAGCTCCCCACGCCGTGCCAGAGAGGACGCCAGCGAAGAAAGAGAAAAACAAGTAAAGGCTGCTGCAGTCGCCACAAGAACTGCATTACGGGTAGTCAACTTCACTGGCTTCATTACGAGAATGGACCGCAACGGACGATTGTGGCTGCAACGCGCGCGTCTGCGGTCGCGTTTTCAGTGCGGGACGTCGGCGGCGTACAAAAGGGGTCCGTACGGCGCAGCGGCTGTGCGAGATGAAGTAGAAAAACAGTATGAAGATTGCCACGTGACCCATTCGGTCAGTCAGTGTTCGCATTTCGGAACGGCTACCAAGCCATTACAAACACCGATGCGATCGCTGCCACGAGCGCGTGCCAGGAAAGGAAAAACAACAAGCATTAGGCCGACGCCTGCTCTATTTTATCAATGCCAGCCAGATGCGCCCGATCCAGCCGTTCACCGCCCTCTCCCCTCGCCCTTTCCTGCTCCCTCCGATCGCCTAGCCTTCGCGTGTGCTTTGCGGTCATGGGGGAGAGAGCCCCTCATGCAGTGCCTCATGACGGAAATCAAATAAAGCAATTTCTTGTTCAGTTGTGTACAGATCCGTGGGGCGGCGTCTTGCACTGCCCGCGTTCACAATATTGGCGGTCAGGCTGGCTCTGTGAAAGATACGGTGGTTTGAGATAGCGTGTCGCCGTTCGTGGAGCTGTGCGGGCAACCAATGGCAAAGCGTTACTGCAACGCTTCTGCGTGCGCTGCTCTGTGACCCGACGGCAGCATTGCTTCGAGCCACAAAAAAAGCAGCGTGAAGGAACAAATCTGATAGACGTATGACATAGGAGTGGGAAACGCGTATATCACATCCACGGGGGAAAGCGCTCGGAAGCACGTGTGACGCAAGCAGCACTGCCAATCATGTAGCGTCACATCACGACCATTCTTCGAGCTAAGGTGGGCACCCGTTATGAAGCGCACATTTGCACTGGCAAAGAAACATAGGAGGCGTTGGTTGGGCACACACCGCGGACGCATGCGAGAGAATGGGGAAAAAAATAAAACAAGGAGAGGTCGGAGGCTTGAAAAAAAAAAAAGGAATGCAGCAGAACCACCACGGCGGACGAAAAAGATCGAAGGAGACGGCGGCGGACCGCACGCACGCACACCACGGCGGAGAACGTCACTCCCGGGGCAGCAGCGACGGGCAAGCAGAACCAACGCTGCCTTTTCCAGTGACGTCATTAGGCGAGGAGGAACACAACTCGCTCCTCCTCCCCAATGCAAGGCACCAGCGCCGTTTTCGAAAATCGATCAACTTGAGCCCGCGGCACAACGCCCGGCAGGAAAGCCGAACGAGCGAGCGCCGGCTTTCAGGAGGCAGAGGGGAGGGCGCCGCACACGTCACAGGCCGGACGCTCAAAGAGAGAAAGAAAAAAAAGGAAAGAAAAGAGGGCACCAGAAAGGTTCCGAAAGCCAGCAGGCCGTGCAGGGGAAACGAACTGAGGCCCGCCGGAGACGGGGACGCGAAAGGCGCCGTGTTGGGGCGGGGTTGGGTAGAGGGAGTCATGGTATTAACCCATTGCAGTAGCCTGCCAGCCGGCCTGCTTCAAATGCCATGTGCACGCTCCTTCCACGAAAGAATGCCTTCTTTGCACCGCCAAGTGCCACACCTGTACCGAACACGGGATCGTGTGCAGTTTTACACTACAGTGCGCGACAGGGCACAGGCAAGGAAGAACGGTAACCACGGTGCAACGCTGGCATAGCCAGAACGGTGTGTGTGTGTCGGGGAGGTGTTCCTACCCCCCCTCCCCCGTTTTCAAATTTTGCATGCAAAACACACACAGGTATGACTGAACTCCACCACGATATTTCTGGCAACGGCCACTGCTGTGCAAGCACTCGCACCAAGCAATGCTGCTTTGGCACATAAGGTTCCATTTCACCGAACAAATGATCCCTTTACAAGCAGCGAGAAAAGAG